AAACTGCTATACCTGTACATCTTAGGAACAATTCAGGAAAAATGCAAATTAACTGTTTCCTGCTACTTCAATATGGAATTTGTGAAAGAGTTTTCAAGTACTTTCTGATGACTGGCTGAACATAATCAGTTATTTTGAAATTTTAAATATCTAATTCATAATCAAATAAAGCTTGAGAATCAGCTATAATCAGTCTGCAGACCATGTTTTAATTCATATGAATGAACTTGACAATCTTCTAATATACAGGTATGAAAATTACGAAAATGATTGAATTATGGAGCTAGTGCACCTCCCTATCAACATTTTGACATTTTTTTTCAGTCACTTCTGAATTTCCTTAGTTGCAAATTAGGTTTCAAGACTTAAGCCAATTAGCATTACTGAGGAGTCCTCAAAGGACCTGTCAAATATATGATGCAGTTTAATTCACTATTTAGTTCTACTGTGTCTAACTCTAAATTTGTATTAAAAGTTGCTACATTGTATCAACTTGTGTGTCCATATAAAATGGACAAGTAGAGTACAGCTGGCCCCAGGGGCAAGACGGATGATTTCGGGGTAGTGTTAAGAGAGGTGTCACTATGAATTGGGATTAGTGTTTGGGATAGGGGTGGGGGATTCTAGAGAGGAAAAAAGTGTTAATATTTTAGTACGAAAGAGGAATAAAAAGTCAGTAAGGGTTAAAAGAATTATTCAAGGACACCAAGGGAGATAATTTTTTGATGATACACGAGTAAAGGGATGGTTTTACAAAATGTCTTGGGTACTAATGTGAAGATAAAGAATGAAAAGGAGTTAATTTGAGTTCAGGATTAACAGAATGATATTTCCATAAAGTACACTGATAAAGGTAAATGCACTGTAGAGGAAGGTGGGTTTACTTGCATGCCTATATAATATTACCATGGTGACAATTGGTAGGGGTTAATTTAATACAATGGGACCAATATAGTGATGTATTGAGCTTTATTCTAGTACAACTTAACAGCCTGTACATCTGACATTAAACCAACAAGTAATCTTTACATTAAAATTCGTAATAAGCCTGCCCATCCTGACTTTGAGTTGAAGTATATGTATTGGTAGTCTGGGCTTGAACCTTCAATCATAGTACATGTACATTATATGAATTGTGGGCTTGTCTCTATATCTGAAGTATACTGCACACAAGCCATAAACATTTAACACTGAAATACCAATATATATCACATATACACAGGGCTCGACTGTGAACTTGTTAACAAGGAAAAATCTACAATGGTGTAAGGATACAGAACATTCCTAAGTGATAATCTGCATGATTTCCTGGGAAAACGTATACTAATTACACAGTCCATAAAGAATATATTATATAGCACAAATGAGAAAACAGGGTCACCTGAGTACATCCCATACAAGTTAAGTCAGGTAACATTGCTGAAAAAAACAAGCCAATTGACAGAAGTTGTTTTTGACTTTCATTTTCTTCCATGATGTTGACCCATATGTACAACATACAGATTGAGCTTCAAATTGCAAATGCTTGAACAATTGAAGTCCAAAGGAGATATGAGAGATTTGACCTACATCATTGAAATGTAGTAGGTGCTCAAAACAGTATTGTCATTGAAACAGTGATCTCTAGAAAAAACATTGCTGTAGTGGTACATTTTTACAGAAGTCTGTCCATATGATCATATTTGACGAGTTTAAATAGAAAAAAAAATGTTTGAGACCGGTGACCTCAGGTAGATTTATGGACGTCTTGGCATGGAGAGTCAAAACCTTTAAGATAAAGTAATTTAATCATTTTGACAAAATAATATACTGAAATATTTTTGAATCCTGTTAATGACCTTGACCTCTGTGCCAATTTCAATTGAAATCTCTAAGAAAATGGAGTAGCTTTAGTACAGTGATGATTCAGAAACAACACAAGGAATGGGACAGGCAATGGTACCCAAGGTATTACACTGCACATGCTCCATTCCTCCAACCTCCACATAAAAGGGCATATTCATCAAGAAAGGCAAGCTATATCATACACCAGTATATTCTTGTTTAGCTCTACTACAATGTACTCCAGGAACATTGGGTCTTAGGGAAAGGAGATTGAGGTTTAAATCTGACAAGGTCAAATTAGATGCAAAAGTTTCAAAGTTACAACTGATAAACATTTCATGGCACTAAAATCTGTGTTCTGAATACGTGAGTTTGGATTATGACTTGTGACCTTTACATTTGCGAGAAAGTCACATTCAGTTCAGCACCTCGGAAAAACATGAAGTTATAAAAATAAAATATCTACAGTATCATCTGATCATGTTGAGACCTGAGGTTTACTTGACTAATGCTTATAAACATACTGCAGACTCTGAGTGCCAACTCCATCTTACTTAAGGTTAGAATGTTTCAGTAGACCTGTAAACAAAATGTCTACACGACGCTGCTGAATTGTAGTTTTTGGCTGCCAAATTTAAACAAAGTTTAATGCAACAGAATAGCTCTACATCTGCATTGTATCATTGCATTTCAGAAACGAAACTAATTTGAAAATGTTTTTTCACATGATGTGAACCTATATAACACCGTATAAAACTGTGCCTGCTTTTGTACAGACAACACATCATTATACATGTAAATTATCTTAAGTCAAGCGCTGAGGACATGACAGTTAATACATTTTAAGGACTATGGTAAAGGTCAAACAAAAATTCTGCTTCCTCTCTGCCTACCTGCATTAGTTTTAGCATCCTACTTATCTTCAGAAACTTTATGGAAATCTATAAGTCTTGAAAAGACTTCCTTATAGTTCTGTACTTGTTCAAAGTTCACTTCTAAATTGGCTGCAGTGCACTGTGTTTCAGATGAGAAAGCCTTGCTGTACATACTAAAAATGTGAAATTCTGAATCTTTACAAAATCAGAGATTTTATATTTTAGAAATGTCCATTTTATTTTTCATTTACTTCTTTATTTTCTTTCATAACTTCGTATTCAGCAGTCATTCTTATGCTAACACAGAAATAAAAGTCTTTCATAATAAGTTAAGTTAATAATGGACACGGGCAAAACAATGCCTCTATGTCCATATCTAAAATTGATTTACAGTGGAATTGATATATCATACAATGTAGGAGGAAATAAAGTGTTACATAGTAACTTAGCAATTTACGGTTTTGAAAGATCAAATTATTGTTCATCAGGAAAGATTGAGATATAGGTGTATTTATATTTCAGTGCTTAATATTGTATAACATTCCTGGTTTAAATGTCTGCTGATTTGAACAATTTTTCTGTTCCATGGTGGTCCGCAAACCTGATAGATGTAGGCTTCAGATTCTTGTTCTTTTTTCCTTTTTGCCTCTTTATATAATTTACTTTCCTTTTCTTGTTCTAATTCGGTCAGATCATTCCTGATTTGTATAGAATAAAATTGTTCGCAGCTGTGACTTCAGAGTGAGAAAAAGCGACTTTTGATTTTTGCCAAGGTTAAAGGGAAACAATGTTAAAAAAATATGAATCATATGATCAATAGAATCTTATACTTGTGTCCATGTCTTATTTAATTGATGTAACTTGTTGCAATAACATTTTAATCACTCTGTCTTAACAGTACTTGTTAAGTTCAACTTGGAGTTACTTCCCCTATCCAAGTTTTGACAAGTTTTATTATTTATTCAATTTACTGACCGATATATTTATTTATTTTTTAATACATGTACCATAATTCTGAATCATATATGTATAACATATACATATAGGCTATATGCCTTTAGAAAGTAATACATATACATGACATATACATATGAAATAGTACCTGTACATGCTGTACCTGTAACAGGAAGGATAGATCTCTATGGCCAGCACATAAGACTATAATATAATGGAAGCATAGATAATAGCATTTGTCCTAAATTTCCTAATATGTTCCTGGTAATTATTACATTCTTTTATGTGACTGACTTGTATTATTTACATATGAGAATTCAAACGAGAATGTAAATCAGACCATGAGAAATGATAATGTACGAAATAAGTCATGCAAAACTGTTTACTGATGTAACAATTAGCTGTGCTTGAAATTTTTCATGAAATGCAACAAGTAACAGTAAAATGTAACAGTACAAGGAAAAATACATCCTGGCAGAAAGCTCCAACAGGAATCAAACCAAGGTCTCCAGGGTGACAACCAAGGCTCTACCAACTGAGCTGAAGAAGCATGCTCTGTCATTAGTGTGACCGAGATTGTATTTACTCTGTGTACAAGCCACAACAACCGACTATACAACTCCCTTTGTTATTCTTAAAATTTCTTTAATCTCAACACAAAACTCTAAATATCACAAAAAGTGGGAACATATGGATTGAAGAACTGAGCTAAAGAGCCAAGTCCTTCCAGCTGAGTGACCCAGGTCACATATAACACTTTTATAAAACGTAAATCAACTTTAGAGGTTGTTGTGATTGATAAACTGATTTTAACACATTCATGTACAAACCATAAACTATCCATCTTCACAAATATCCAGAACATGAACTGACACCAGTGCTTCAGGTCTTTTCATTTCAATGATTTCATGAGATTTTTTTTTTTTTTTAGCATTAATTTATTTAAGAATAAAAATATGTCATTATTTGCATGAACCTAAGCAAAGTTCTGATTTATTTCAGAAGTGCAGGTTGCTGAAGGGGATGGTGGTGGGAAGATGAAAACTGTGACAAATCTTAAACTTTTATAATTATAAGGTCAATTTTTCGTTAAACCAAGTTTTTAATTTAAAGGGATTGTGCATAGCATGATGTCAGTTTTGAGTGAGACATTAGGACCACTAACTGCAGAAATACGCCAATAAATCACCATTTATATTCTGCACTGTACATTCTCATGTCTAAAACATTTAAAATAAGTTTATATATACATTTTAAAGTGTTGAGAACTTTCCTTTACTCTGGCATTTATCAGGTTTGTTTATTAAGACATCAATGAACAATATTTTACATATACTGTATACTTACGCACTTGAGCTGATGAAAACACCAGAAGTAGGCCTATAAACAGCCAACGGATGCCATCCATTGCTCTAGAGGGTAGACCTAATTTATCCACAAGATGGAGATCTCAGATTCAGGTACAGAGTAAGATTAACTGTTGGAACTTAGTAACGAAAGTCCAAATAAGTTATTCCTTTTGTATATTATGTGTGATCCTCAGATATATTCATTTTAAAGACACTTTCAATCGGTATTCGATATCCCATGTTTAAATCTGACTCAGACTATGTTAGATTACTTTCATGACAAGGCTCTGAAGGTAAGTACTTGACATAGTTTGAGGGGGAGTTCCTGTGTTGAAGTATGGCTGTTCCATCAACTTGACAAACATCTAAAAATGTAAATAAAAGTACTCAAAACATATCATTCATTGCGTTTGTAAACTGTGTTTCTTCATTATCACTCAAAAAAATTTATAAATGATTAATGTTTTCTTTTTAAACGTCAATTTAAACTTTTATTTCACTTTTTTTCCCCATGGGAAATTAAAAATAGCCAGGGAATCCCCCTCAATGCGTCATCTTCCCTCCCGGATGTACTAAAATTTGTCTCTGCGCAGGACCGGATACAACGGGAGAATCATGGCTAACACAGTGAGTTGACAAAATACCGGTTGCATCTATTTTACTTTATTTCTTCAGACTTCAAACTTACAATAGAAAAAAATCGGCGTCTCTCTGAGTGAATCATTTTCTTTTTCAGAAATATGTTTAAGACCGTTATAATCATCGTTAACGCAGAGACTTAACATTTCGTTCATAGGCATACTCGATCACAACAGTGAAAATGGACCAGTGAAGTTGTTTCACACATTAATGATTTATTCAATTAGTTTCACATATTTTTACTTTGTAACACAGCAGTAGAATTTTCATTACAGTACGCATGGTACCACATAATTAATCCACTCATAGCTTGGCTATTAGCGAAACATTTAAGAAAGAAAATGTCGGTCTTTGTCAATTTATGTCATTTAAACACTAATCATTGTATGCTCTTTGGGCTTCTGGAAGCGTATCCGTGTGTGATCAATGATTAGATCATGAAACAGTAGAACTTATAGGTAAACAGAGGGTTTGTCGCTCCAGTGTTTGTTTAGCCACAATTTGAACGAGTTTTTATAAGAAATCAATATTATCAATAGTGGATATCAATTTTCATTTGGGGACCTCTTGTTAATAGCAGAATCCAGAGTTACCATCTCTAAGTACAATTAATGTTTTTTCTAAGTTAATAGTTGATTACCGCTGACATTGGTCAGATGGCTTCTTTGTTGCAGTGCTACTGTTACTAACTTAAAAGTAGAGAAAAATAGATATAAAATACTTTTCTCTTTCAGCATATTTCATACCCAGCAGTCCGTCCAAAGCCAGAGGGGTCACAGAAAGTGGAAACTCCAGTTGGGAATTATGGTGTCCCTGAAATGATGACACATGGGTAAGTCTTATATAAGACTTTCCTGTTAATGCAGTAGTTTTGTAATTCAATGTAATAAATTTCTGTAAATACTGAAATCCTTCTGTAGGTTTTGTTTTGTGTGTGTGGAATAGTCTTCTCTCAAAGGCTTATGATCATGAATCCTCAATTTGAAATCTTCATTTTCTTAAAAAAGTTTCATCAAATTACTTGAAATGTCAGTTAGCATGTTGGATTATTTTGATAACTTCACAAAAGTTTGTACTAACTATTTATACTCATGTAGATTATTTTTATCAATAACCAGCACAATGTAGAATTCTAGTACATAGCATGTGTTGCAGTGTCAGTTTTCTATACCCCACTGACACCCACTTGTGTAAAAGGGGGATATATGGTTATCACTTTGTTGGTGTATCTGTGTGTGTACATCCATGATAAACTTCTGTAAAACATATCTCATGAAGCCTTTGACAGATTACAGCTGATAATATTTTGGTGGTCATCAAGTTAGGTTTAAAGTCAAAGGTCAACCTTGACCATAGATATAGATCAGAAGAAAAAAATGTATAGTTGGGGGTTATCTGTGCTCACTTTGTTTTTGTTCTTCATCCAGATTTGACAAGAACGATGCCATCAGCAAACCAGTGCATCCATTAGAACAATCTGAGAAACAAGTAAGATTATTTTTTCTCTATGATACATGTTAGCTGATTCAATGATTTGCTATTCTCAATAGTTCAATGATACTTCGCTATCATACTGATAAACAGGTAACTGCATTTTACAAGCAACATTACTAAAAACAGAAACATTCTCTTTCTTTGTCACTTTCTGGAATGACATGTCTTTTAGAAATTTGATCAATTTTGAAAAGTCTGTACAGATTGCATGCAAATTGTGAATTAGTATTTGCATGCCCAGTCCTGTTCAGTGAAATGGCTTTCTTTTTTAATGTAAATGCTAGAAAGCATTTGACAAGTTATTATAATGTAAATAATTATGTATCACATTGATATTCAAGAACAAGCTATTTAATCTGTAGAAGTATATCATAGCTACGTTTATATTCCTGAAACTTCAGTGGAATGAGAACAAAATGAAGATGGACTTTGCCATGTTACGAAAGACAGAAGGCATCCATGCGCCTTTACGACTTCAGATGGAATTTGGAGTAGCTAAAAGGGTTAGTTTCTTAAATCATCATTTTCCAAAGATTAACAGTGTTCTCAACAGCAGACTGACTCTGCTCATTTGAATAATACAGTCGCAACCTAAGACATTCATTAAATAGATGACTTCAACCTGCAAGCTCACATATTGCATTGAAATTTAATTATGTGTGCTTCGCTGGAGGATGTGAAAGTGATGAAAATGATTGGTATTAATAAATCTGCATCACATACTTCAATATTTGGGATAATATTTTCTCTTAAATATCTTTTTTTATATGCCTTTTCAATCTTCTTTGTTGTCTTCAACCAAGATACATTATGATTCTGTCCTTTTACATCATAAAAATTGGTTCTTTTCATCCCATGATTGACATTCAGCTTTAAAATTGCCCTGAAGTGACCCCATCATCTGTAGAGTTTAAATAAAACACCAGATTCATTTGACCTTAGCTGTTGAGAAGATGAAAATTAAGAAACAAAAAGAGATTGAAATTGAAACATTGTCATGAGGCAGTGGATATGTTAATTATTTTATTGTGAGTCTTGTGCAATTTTCATAATGTTTATAATGTGAAATGCCTTAAAAATTGATGAATGATAAGGATTGAAAGAGTTATCTTTGTTTCAGAATTTACGACTACCAGGACTACACAGCTCAGGTCTAATGCTTGATACATTAACAGGCAGGGATGAGATAATCGATTTTGATGACATCCTAAACAGTAAGTTGAGGGTTCTTTACTATATTATGATCAAAATAATAGTACATGCAAATTATAGACCAAACAGTATTTCCTTTTGTTACATACCCACGCCTTGTGAGAACTATTTTTAAATCTGCGTTGAGCAATGTACGTAAGTGACCTGATGTTTGACACAACGTTATCCCAATGGATCTGGTATCTCTGACACCTTGTTTAGATAGGGATCACAGACATTATCAAGACCATGTTCTCTGTGGTTGTACTATATAAAACTAATTAAATGTCCATTATTAAGTAGGTTCAACAATTATAAAAGTCGGGTATTTGAAAAAATGGGGTCCCTTAAAGGAAAATCTGATTCAAATAAGAAATGGCGATATCTCCAGCATTTCTTAAATAAAAAATATCAGTGTATCATTCTTCATTAAATTAAAGAAAGAAAAATTGGTGAGTTTGTTTCACTTAGCTTTTGTTATTTACGGGAAAAAATGTACTAATGTTTTGTGAAGTTTTATATCATCTCCTGTGTGATGACCTCAGAAAAAAGGAGACAGTCTGCTATGTTTGAGAGGTGGAGTGCCTACTTCCGTTGATTGGGGAGGGGGTACGTTTCCTGTTACAAGTGCGTTAGTAGGTCACCGGCACTGTGTCGGACAGAATTAACATATGAACATTCAGTATTAAGCTTATTGGTTCACCTGTATAACTTTTTCATTAACAATGATTGAATGACAATAGATATGGTAAAATGTTTTTCAACTGTTTGTTAATGCATCTCCCATAGCCTCATTGTACTTAGTCTATCACTGAATGAAACATATGAAGTTTCCAGTTTCTGTCTGCCAATCCCTGATAAAGCAAGTTAAAGATACACTGCTGTAAGATTAAAAATAACATGTCTCAATTTGAAGGTTATGTCTTTGCCTGTCCAACATAGGTGCAATATGTGTGTCTATAGACAAACAGCTGATTCATGTTATCTGGGAAACTTTCACCAAACAATGAAGTATTATGAGTTTGTGGGAAAGAAAATGAAGTGAAGTGCTGTTAGAGAGATATCTTCCTTCAATTGCCACTGTTTTATGAAAATATCATGACTTGTTGAAAAGTTTTATTTTTACACAAGTTATTCTCCAATCAACACACTTCAAACTTTTCAAGTGTCTGTGTATTGTGTAAGTGCAAAAATATGCTGCATCTAATATCTACTTGTCAAGATATTTGAGGAAAGCATTGTAAGCCAGATATACTTGACTTTGTGGGTCAAAAAACATGCACAAGTTCAATCTGACTTGGCCCTTCACGTCATTCAAATCTGTGTAGATGACTAGTCATGAAAGCATGTATGCATGCATTGGTCACCTCTCCTAGTAAAGATATGACACAGCTTCTGCCCCTACTGTGAATGTGTATAGACATTAATCATCTTAGTTTAGAGTGAAAGATATGTCTTTGTTTATTGTTGATATCCTAGATTAAGATTTTCTATACTCTAGTGGGCAATATACAGATAGAGCTTTATATATATGAAAACTGTATTAACAAGTTAATGTTAAAATATGACAGTTGACAATCTGCATTGTCTGGTAATAAGTCCGTAAGATATGATATTGTTCAGTAAAAAGTATCATCCAATGCAATTTGATTGTACTTAGCTCATACCCACTGGTTGAAGAAGTAATGTAGTGGCCCCCTTGGCTAATTTCAAAATAATCATGGTAGTACAGTAGATATTGATTAACAAGAAACTACTTCTAAATCAGGCATAAATATTAGAAAAACTGGTGCAATCTGCAAGATTCAAGAACTTATGCGAGCAAGAAAGCTACTTATTGTATGATAATACACAAACCAAACCTGTGACAAAACATCGATTTCAGCTATATAACATTATCCCTGTATAATCTAGATATGTTTTAAATTATTCCATAAAAAAAACCCAGCCAGTTATTAAGGAACATTTAATATTCTTAACAGAAGTACAGTATACCTGGTTATTTTCAGAGGTCAAAGTTTTCACGATTTGCTTTTAAAAGGGTGGAATTATATTTCAACTAATTGCGGCCTATTTCCTGCAAACCATCTGATATCCAAGAGGAGGATGACCAAATCTTATGAAACCTTTCATAACTTGTGTTAGCTCTCTTTTTATATTCAAATCAACTAATTAAGAATTTCCCAATCTGAATTTAAAAGGACATTTAATATGCATGTCTCATTCTTTTAAGAATTTAATTTTTCGCGTTAATGTTCTGCAAATGTTGTTCCTCCAAAAATAACCAGCTCTACAGTATTTGTTTCATTTGACAATTTTTCCTTGTTACATGAGTACATATCAGTGCTCCAGATAGGATGCGTGATATTGCATGTTTCACGCATAATTAATGGACAAAATACGCACAAAAACTCTGCCAATGGGTCATGATTACTTAGAGCATATTCAATTCAATATCATTATATGCGTTGATTCCAGATCAGTGGTCGGCAATCATAGTTTTTGTTTAGTGTTTCCAATGATATTATAGGAACACCTCATCTGTTCACCTCCATATGAGTACCAGACCAGTACCAGCTAATCTTAATCAAATAAAAGCTAATGTAAACTTCCATATCTTACAAGCGCAATGATGATTTGTTTTCATCTTTGAGAATATGTCTGCCATGCAAGGGGAGTAAATTCTTTAAGTATTGTTATACATGTAAAAAACCAGTATTAAATCATTACTTAATTACTCATTTGAAATTTCACCCCCTGTGGACAACAAGTCATACCAATTTCACCCCCGGTTTTCACATTGAGGGGTGATTCACTTCCTAGCATCAAGATCTATCTGGAGCACTGCATTTAAATCATTGATGGTAGATGTAGATATAATTTTGATTTCTTTTTATTCATTGTAGATCCATATGAATCAGAAACGATCATTGATCATCATGGACTGATGGAGAAGAGGCTGAACATACTATAGTGCCACCTGGTGGTGGATGTTAGATATATAATAAACTCTCATCTCATTGTCTGGACTAATAATTGTCTGTAGTGCTATTCACTCTATGTAAGAATTAAATTCATTTTTTACATGTCCATTGTTAGTTGTGTTTTGTGTACATTTACCTTAAGACCACTTCAGATCAAGCCAGTCCTAAACACATAGATGAGCTGAATTGTTTCAGGTTTTTGTTGGTGAGTAATCCACAGAAGTAGATATCGTCACAAAATCCAATGCTTCATAATAAGTCCATCAATATCCGTTGCTATTTCATTGACAATTAATCCTATTTCATTGTCTTTCAAAATGTTTTGGCTCCATTGCAGGATAAATATGGTATGTAGTATTCAAATATAAATTTTTTTTTTTTTACCAAATATGGTCATGAGGGCATTATTGATGAAAAGGGAATCAACTTAGTATAAAAGAAGGGTTTCTGTCCCCTCTGGCCTTAGGGGATCGGTCCTACTAGGGAAGTGAATTTTATGTGAAACTCGGGTCTGAAGAGTGGCAGGCCCAATTATGGACAATAAAGGTATAGTGAGAGTTAAAAGCATTCCTTTCCTACTTGCATGAAAGTGATTTGTCAAAATTTAGTTAGGAACTTTAAAATTCTTTAGAGAAGATGAACACAATCATGCAGAAAAATAATTTTTAGTGAAAGCCAAATATCCAGGTGAGCAACACAGGCTTCCAGGCCTCGTAAGATTTCAACAGATTTTCAAAACATTCATCTTGCTTTAGATGTAAGAACTGACTATTTGGATCATGCTTACCTGCTGTATACATCCTGTAATGTCATTAGCACACCATAATAGGATGGTGGATTATCCCTTTGTCCCTCATCTATCCATAATCTGGAATTTATACAATAAATGAGAACTGGATTATCTTTCTTAAATTTCATATGTGGATTCACCTCTTGGTGCCCTTTGATGTCATGCTTGATAAAAAAAAAAATGACTCTGGTAACCATAATTGATTTGACGATTAAAGATTAATATTGCTAGTTTTGAGGAAAGAAGGGAAAAAAACTTTCAAAGAGCAAATGAAGATCAAACAATGTGCCAAGATCCCCCTGGGACCTCTTGCATTGAAATAGCATGGAGTACGATATCTCTTATAACCCCAGATGCCGCAGTGGAATGTGCACTCAACTTGTGCAAAGACTTCTGGTTTTGATATACCAATCAGATATGGAAAAGGTCATCTGTCCGACCCATATCAGCCTTCTTGGGATTAGTCTGGTTTTCTCTCTCTTAAATTTGGATCCTTCCGATCTTGTTTTTTATCAAGTCAGGTAGAAAGTTGGGCTTATTACAGGATATTGCTTGAATGGGGAGTTCTGATGAAAGTGTAGTATCACCACCAGACATCATATTGTTGTTGATAACCATAGATCTTTCTTACTCCATTCATTTCTGCAGTTAATATAATTTCAATTGAGGCTTGTTGAACCTTGTAATGTACACAAGTGCCAGCAAAGGTTGGGATTACCTCACCTTCAACAATGAGCTGTTTTCTTCATAACACACACATATATATATACAGCATACACGCCTTACAAACAGGTGGTATAGAATTGTAAATTTTTTCCCAACACATGGAAAGAGCATTTGACATCAATAAGCAAAGAGGAATGGAGTTTTGATTACGTAGGATTTGCTGGAGACCTAACTGTTTATATTTACAACAGCTACGTTGGATTTTGTTGACGTGCATAAAGAAAGGGAATCATGATTCTGTTGTAAGAAAAAAGTGTTTGGTAATGGACATAGACATTGAAACTTGAAATGACATTTGAAGAATTAATTTAAACAAGAGGCCCACCCACGGGCCTTAACAGTCATCTGACATGAAATACACGATTTCAAATTTTGAATTGAGAAGAAGTCGAAAATGTGTTTTCAAGATGGTGGCCATGTTGGATTTTGGACCAATCCGAAATTAACAAACTTTGGTCAGGATCATGTCACGATCATTTCAGGTAAGTTTCAGCTCAATGAGACATGTAGAACTTGAGAAGAAGTTGAAAATGTTTATGATGGACACTGCCGGACAAAAGGCAATCGCAATAGGTCATCAGACCCTTCGGTCAGATGACTTAAAAACTTTTAAAATTTAACAGAAGATATGTGCCATTACGATGTGTGAGAATATTCCAATGCCTCAATAAATTTGGCACAACACAAATGGCAAACATTTCCCCTTAATCTTAGAATTGTATAGCTGTTGGTAATCCTTAATAAAATAGGTAATTATCAAGTAATATAATTTTTTGTATCTAAGCACAAAATAATTTGGCTACTTAAATTCAATGCTGTTGACGGTACCCAATTTATATCAAAATATCTTATTGTTGCCAGATTTAAGAAATAGATTTGGCAATTCATTCAATTCCATATACATAAGAATGTCTGTTTCTCTAGTGTTTTGCAACTGTTGACACCATTAAAGAAAGAATCAAAACTGGGGGACCTGACTCAAAACTTTTATTAAGTGTGGCTATTGCTACCAAATATGTCTGAACTGGTCAGTGTGGACACTGGTCAGTACCAACGTGTCACATATAAATACATCAAACTTAGGAAAAGCTTTCTATATCACAAACACAATTAACAAATTCATTAGAGGAGGAAAAAAAAAAATTTTGATATGTTTTGTTCATGAAATAATGAATTTGATATAGCATCATCCAAAGTAATATGTATAAATAGCCTCTTTAAAAAGAAATCTGATTAGCGATGGATACACACATACCTGGTAACATACACACATACACACACAAGTAACATATACATATAAATATATCTATACCCCTACGTAACTCTGTTTCAGAATGGAACAGTACCCAATTTCAGGATCTTGACTTAATACAATAGAAGCTGTTAAAAAAGAATAACTAATTATTGAATAAGAAATAATTTCCCCTTTCTGACACCCCCACCTAAATTTTGATCTGCTCCCTCGCTTTGATAGGAAGTTCAAACAGGAACAAGATTTTGGATTTACTGTGTGAATGTATCCATTAATAAAAAAGGAAAATCTTTATAAAGACAGCAGATGATCTCTTAAGCTATTAACAACATGACAACAAATATCAGCATGCATGTGAATGGTTACAAGAATCGCTTTCTGAATAAATAAACCCAATTCAAGAGAGACTATAAAATATGAAGACTTCCCTCTGGTTTAGTAGCCGTCCTCGCTCTACTTACAGAATTTAATGCCCACCCACAAATTATCCCATAAATTTTTCAGGCAATTTCAAAATTAGAGAACATTAAAAATCTTCCATTTAATGGAAGAATTGTTTCTATGGTGGGAATATTTTCTTAAGATTATTTATTTACATCAATATATATATACATATATATCTATAATGTACACACTATTAATCTTAATTATTTATGTGGACCCTATCATACTACAATAAAAAGAAGCAAGACATTGAATTAAGTACCAGATATACCATCATAACAGTACTGTGCAATCAGATGGACACAATCCTTCGTGCTCAAATGAGAATTTCACTTTAAGCACAATAACTCTATAAAAGAGAATACCTCACGGAATGTACTGTTTATCATTACAGCATACTTCTCCCATTCACAAAGCTGAGCAGCAAACAAAATAAATCATTCTTTTTATGAAGTTTTCACTTAAAGTGTTTCTGTACAACCTATAAAGTAGCATACGATAAACAGATTTAAAAAGTATATAAAAAGAAGATATTTCAACAAAGAAATAGGAATGTTATCTCAAAAGTTTAAGAATAATATCACTTCAATTAACTCTCAAATTCATATATTACCCTACAAACAAGTATTAAAATATGAATACACTAAAGTTCCTTGCTAGATCTAAATCTATTTAATCTCAAAGTTTATAGAAAGTAGAAATCTAGCATCCTCACAGTCTTTTCTGCTCCATATTTCCATAAAGAAAAACTTTATTTAGTTTAAATATCAAAATGTATTTAAAAAAAAAGGTCCAGTCCTATCACTAGCACTTCATCATCTTATCACTAATAACCATCGTTAAATACAATGAAATATTTTATAAATTTCACTACAGGTAAGTTAATCCATACCACAGTTGTATGATATATTTGGTTTAAAGGAACAAACAACAGTCTGGTTTGAATTAGAGGACTAAAGCCAAGATTAAACACCTACTGGTTTGATAGTCATCAATGAAACTACCTAATGGTTAGATTGAGAATTAACACAACAGCACAAAATCAAAACCTTTCACAAATCTTAAAATATAACCCACACGAAGTAACAATGAAACTGTGGATACCATTGTAAAACAAACATGAGATACCAGTCAGTAACTCTGGAATGATAGCAGATATTTTACTGAACATAAGTAACGCAACTACTTTTAATGTCTACCAGGAGTGTCATGTGCTACATACCCATTAACAGACCTCACATAAACTCAATATTCACCAAGGAGTCTAAAACCTTCAAATTACTCAAATTATTTTACCGTGGACACATAGTATAATTACTAGCAGGTAACGCATCTATATCTCATCCAAAGTAGCACTTTACTGCAGGGTGATTCAAACTTATTATGTGAAACATTAGTACTCGCATGCATTTCTGGTAGGTCAGAATCAGTTTTAGTGACAGGCGATGAAAATAATTCCACAGGTAGTCAAAATAATTTTGTCAGTAAAGAACTATGGTCATCAAGACTTACATGCACAAGTAGATCTGAATCCTCGTTGTAGATCTACCAACACAATTCAAAGGCATCTCAAGAATTGTTGAAGGAGGACAACCCCTCATGTCATTTACTATATTTAAATTTGCTAGCAAATTACTATTTGGCTGCTTTTCATAACAACATTTGTTAAAGTTTATAACATCACATAAATATATTAAGTTATTTTAAAACTTCCCTTGAATGTATTGAAAAATGCAACACATAATATACTTGTAACAATGAATCAGATTGAGTGCATGATATCTTATATTGGTTCTACACAGCAATATGCAGCGATAAGACTTTGTCACAGGAATAAGTTGACTAGAGATACTGTACCATAGTAATAAGCTATATCGGCAGTGCCACAACTTGTCATTTAGAGTAATTTGCCAGTACAGTGAGCTGCAATATAATTCTGCACAATATTACATTTTAGTGCTGAGCAGGACAACAAATGGTGTAAATATTGCCAACATAATGGCAAAGCTCTCCCTGATAATAAAACAATTTTAAAACTGACTGCATCACAAGTTGCTCTAGAATGCAATAACTATATGTTAGTGATAAGTGACACAGCTAGCTCTTGTGGCACTATAATATAATGGTTGTGCTTGTGACTGAGCAATTGAATTAATTGACAGCCTGCCTTACAACACAGTACAGCTACAGCAGCTTTGCTTATCTATTTCCATAAGTTTTCCCCTCCAGAGATTCTAGATCTACCACGACTGGTTTTGTATGGAGACAACTTATGATGCATTTGACAGTACATATTAGAGAAGTATTATTTTCAGTGATTCTAGTTCTACAACTGGTTCTGTTCAGGGATGATTATGTCACACAATATGTTCTACAGAATGTCATCACGTTGATAAATCATATCAACTGATGGTGTGAACCTGTCAACCACTGGACTGCACCTAACACACACCAGTCTTGTGTCCAGACACACAACACACATGCATGCCAAAGGGGTGCCAGCACATTATCCCTTGGTGCCAAAATTGTCCTTGACATCACTCGTTTCTCGTGTCCACAAACTGTTCTGTACTGTTCCTGGACCACAACAATCTTCACACCTACAGTACTGTTTCTTTTGATGCACACAAACTACTCTTCAGTATCAATGCTGATACACAGGTTTGTGAAAGACCATTTAGTACTATTTCTGATCCTCACAGTGTCCACTAGATCTTCAGTATCGTTCCTGGTATTCATGGTGCCACTTATTGAAATCAATGTTGAATACCAAAAGACATCCAGTTCCTAAACCAGCTAACAAAAACCTGAAAAAGTTGAAGCATGATCAATTGTATTTGTCAGTAAACAATGTAATCAGGCAGAAAAAAAAAGGAACTATATGGTAGTCCCTTTATTTTGACATGAATTCACAGTGCCACAGTTTTTGACTGTTTAATGTATATTCAAAAGAGATTCATCAAAAACAGGACATTTGTACTTATCTGTGTTTTTTTTATACATATTTTTGTGCTAGATACTTGTTTATAATAGTGACTTGGTCACTTATTGATTTGACAAACCTTTTTGTGACCACAGAATAGAAATTCTTACAACACAACCAGTAGAAGATGAGAGTGTGATGGTTGACTTCATGAGAGAAATGACCATTGGCAGCGTACTAACACTGATGTACTTAGTGTATGAGATGGTAAGGAATCAGCCAACTTTTTCAGATGTACTATAATCATGTGACAGAGATCAAACTAAATTAGTGACTTCATATCCTCACTTGTGACCAGGTGTGACAAAGGTATGACACACTAAATTAGTGACTTCATATCCTACCTTGACGGAGATCTGAACTACTAAACAAGAGATCTGACACACTTATTTGATTGCCAGATACTTATTTTTCGACTGTGTGTGACAAAATGTGACTGATCCCACTATCATCAGATTTTACTTATGACCTTTCCTGAGAGCAAGTGACCTGATCTCAACATCATTAGATACTTATTTGTGGCTGTGCGTGTGAGCATGTGACTTGATCTCACAACATCAGATAATTACTTGTGACCATGTATGGGAGGAAGTGACCTGAGCTCACCATCATAGAGATACTTACTTGTGATCATGTATGAGAGTAAGTGACCTGATCTCACACATCATAGATACTTACTTGTGACCATGTATGAGAGCAAGAGACCTGATCTCTCCATCATAGATACTTACTTGTGATCATGCGTGAGAGCAAGTGACCTAATCTCGCTATCACAAGGTGGGTAGGCATACAACAGGGTTAGGTCATGTGAGCGCCACACTTCAACCACTCCATTGGAACCACCCAGCATCATGTATTGACCATCACGACTCAAGATCATTGACTACAATAACAAAAGATATTTTTCTTTTTTTTTTATCTGGCATTAACTATTGATGATTTTACCTCTGTAATATCATGTATAAGTATCATTATAGATCTCAACAATTTAGTAGCGCTCTCTGTTGCCTTTATGTAATCCAAAAATCTACATGACATGTTTTTAACAAAATCTTCAAATGAAAGGACATCAAAGCTCTGACAAATGTAGCTTTAAAGATTTACTTGGTTTTAATCCTTTACAGCTTGAATACACATTATTGATTTAAATCTATGACTTCTTTATTATAGGAATAAGGACTTTTTGCAAAGCATTAATCTTTTTTCCTTATATTGCCCAATAAGGCAGATAATAATGCAGATTTGAATTTACAACTTTGAGTCTGCGTGAAAATAATGCAATCACACATCTATATAAATATCATCTTTGATACTCACCTGAATGTTATCCTTATGGCGGACATTTAGAAGTAAGCGGCCATTGATGCTAAAGTTGCATATATGACCCTCGTCAAACTTGACAAGAACAAAGGACTCTCTAGACATTGTAATGAGTTGAGGTGTCCGACAGCCCTCAGGGGCCTCCAGAGACCGCAGTAAATCGCCACTCAGGGTGTGCACCAGACAAGGGCCATCTGAGAGAGAACCAAACATCTTGAGATTTCAATCATTAACAATGCATAACATCTTCATACATCAAGCCACAAGACCTATTTGTCATTCCAATGGATGCGTTTCATTTTTAGAACACTATTTTCTTGTCTTTCTAGGAAAAAGCCATTCATTTTCTCTCACAGATTGGTTTTTTATTCTCAATTACAAAGCAGAAATATCAAAATGCAGCTTTCATAATTTGAAAACTCATCTGAATGTGATCTAAGGGAGAGAATTCAAATAAATTGTTGCAAATGACATCAATTGGAATTAAAAAACAACTTACTCTGTGATCCACTCATGACTAGACCAAGTTCAGCAAGGACGGCGACACAGGTGACCTCAGACTCATGGCCAGTCAAAGTGGCTTTGGGAGTTGGGTGCTCAAGACCTGAAAGTCAACAGATTATACTCATGACAACAGTTTCTGCACCTGGACTTTTTTAAAATAAATTTTTGAAAAGATCATATAAATTTAAATCAGTTTTAAACAGGTCATTTACAATAACAATTACTTTAAACATGTAAAATTCCTCCATTGCTAAATATTAAGCTTGCATTTTCATCTGTTTCAACATGCAATTTATATGGTTATTAAAACCAACAACCAAAATTGCATACATTTAAAAACAGATATGACAAATTTGTATAAATTATACAGAATCAGAAAATGCTTATGAAATAGGATAGACTATATCATCGATCTGTTAGCAGTTAGGATCAAAACTGATAAACAAAATTAGTTCATTTGATAGCTTAAGAAAAATCACAGATTATCCCTAATATCAATTATCAATTGCAAGAAAGGGACACCAGGCTTACAAAGAAAACTGTGACATAAGTACACTGTGGAACTGTCTTCCAGCCTGATAACAACTATAGCGATGACCCCATAACAATTCAGAGACACAAAAGGACAGTTAGTCATATACCAGTAAGGTTTTTGTCCAATCATATTTAAGTTTTTGAAGGATGAACTTAATGACTCGATTCCATTCACAGCCATGGGAGTACCAAAAATTAAAATAGCCTTTTTTTTTTAGAGAAGGGGACAATATATGGTGCAATTATAAAACGTACAGTAAACAAGAGCATTAGTCACATACATACAATCAACAGTAAGGAGGACAATACATTGGATATGTGGGTTGTGTTGAGGAAAAATGGTGATAGAGCTATTATTGGAGGTTTATGAGATGTCATTGGAGGGAGTGAAAATGCCTATAATTCATTTCTATTTTTGCATTCAAGCAGGTAATGGGTGATCATTAGAGTGCAAGTAATTATTATTAGAACATATAGAGTACTTATTTTGTGGTAGTAACAGAGAATAGACGAATAGCTCTGTGCTAACTTACTGCCATTGTCACCAATGATGGCCATGTTTCGAGCAGTGAACATCCATACCATCACAGTACAGTCTTTGGAGCCAGTGATGATGTAGCAGTCCTGATTCAGGTTACACTCAGAACGTGTCAGACATGTCACTACATCAAAGTGGCCATGTACCACTTGTAAAATTTTGGCTGAAAAGCACAAACAACAACATGAAGGCAGTGAAAAAAAACAGTCACTCTAAGATTCCATATCATGAAATGGTCATTTATCATAAAATTTCTTTTTGCTGTACGCTAACAACCAATCTATAATTTGCTTGGTGATCCAATTAACTGTTTTGTTTGAGTACTGTACATTATCAGTTATAAAATTGAGTTCTACTGATACCACTCAAACCTAAAATAGAAATCTAACATCGGTACCTTCAATATCAAATTTACCACTGGTACCTACAATACCAAATCTGCCAACGGTACCAACAATAACAAATCTATCACTGATACCTAAAATATCAAATCTACCATTGGTAATTTCAACACCTAATCTAACATTGGTACATTCAATAAGAATTCTACAACCAGTACCTACAATGAAAAATCTATCACTAATACCTACAATACCAAATCTACAATTGATACATACACTACTGAATCTACTACTCTCCGAGTTTTAATTATCAAATATATACAATAAAATCTTTCGTTATAGTGTTTTAGATGTTATAAATTTCAGTTTTAATGAACAGCTGATTTTACCTGTTTCAGTAGAAAACAGACGGAAGCTTTTGTCCCAAAATCCACAGGCAAAAATAAAGCGGTTGTCAGCAGATGTAGTAAAGGAAGAGTGCCGAGCCTTCATCCTCTCATCAAAGTTATCTCCTAATGTACGTCTCTGTAGACCAGTGTTGAGGGCTGTAACAAAAGAAGTCATTGTAAATTTTGGTATGATTTATATGCAATAAACTGACAGATCCATTCAAGTTTTATACAAACCCTTTCCATTTTGTGAGATCCAGGTTTAATACAAACTCTGTACATTTTGTGAGATCCAAATTATATATAATACAAATCCCATGCATTTTGTGAGAAGATTCTCAGCCAGTCCAGACAATATTCTTTTTTGATAAATCAGTCTTAATCTTCAAGATTATTTTCAGAGTAGCTAACACTACATATACTTTCTGTTTAGCTCCTAGTCTAGCATCAGTGCTAAGAGGCAACATCCCACTACACCTACCTAGTAGCTGATCCATAGACAGAGGCAGGTTTGCCTGAGTTTCAGGTTTCTCTGAAGAAAAGCTTGTTGGTGTGCCTTGTTCTGTAAAGACAAGTAGAAAATTACAATGTTGATGAAAAATTCAGACAAGAGGCCCAATGGGCCTGCAGCACTCAACTGGTATATATATATTTACCCACCAAATATCATGCCACTAGACCTTTTAGTTCATCAGAAGAAGTTGGTTCAATGTTTAAACAAATTTGACCCCTGTGACCTTTAATGTAAGTCATTTCTTTTCACAATTCACAAACTTTGTCGGGCTTAATTCTCAGAACATAAAGGCTTATTATCAAGCATCTAGGCATTTTAGATCATGAGAAGAAATCGTTTAAAGCTTTTAACAAATCTGACCCCTGACCTTGAATATAGAAACACACCAACTAAATATCAAATAAGTAAGTATTCGCGAAATTTTAGTGATTTACAGTAATTCGTTTTTCACAGTAACATTTGTTGAACTTTGACCAAGCCAGCACTTTCCTTTGCACTATGACTGTAATACAATACATATGAAAACTTACTGCAATGTTGATCAAGCAAGTGTTTCATCTCAGATTATTTGTAAATATTTAGTTTGCGATTGTAACACATACGTTGGTAGCTTGGGTTCCACTTATTGATGGCGAAGTTGTGGCTGCAGGAGATTGTTGTGACAGCAGGCACAGGGACGGCAGGGTGAGTATTGGCAGCCACATAGGTTACCGGTGAATTAGACAGGAACTTCATGATCATGCACACATCGTCCTGCGTAGTTGAGAACATCATCGGGGTCTGCAAAACACAAAGTCACATTGTTTTGAAGTTTTTAAAGACAGCATATTGCATGATTATCTTTTCCCTTAAATATCTACCAATTGGCTAATTATATGAATTTTACCAGCTGCTATATTGCTTGATGTTCAGTTGTTTTTGTTAAACTTTAAATAAATACAAGCTCTCATCTTTTGAAGGAATTATCCTTCACATAATCCTTCATGTCTATTTGTTGATTATGTATTTGTATGATTCAGATATGGCACAAAGATACTTCCTTGATTTTACACTGACATAACTTGAACCATTTGAACAAAATCCATTAGGAACATGTTACCACCATAAAAGTAAATTTTCTTCACTGCATTGAAAATAACGGTAAGACAAATCTTAAAGTTTCTTTCTAATGCTATAGGCAGGATGGCAGGCTTGTTCAAAATCATTCCTAAACAAGAAACCTAGAGTACCGTAAATTGGGAATTTTTTGTGAGGTGTTATTAAGAATTCCATAACCAACTTTTATTCCTACAGGACAAGGTGTTCCAATTAGGTCTGATACAGGTGAATAACTGTTACAGGTGTTCGCAGTGAAAGCACTCATGGTAATGTTAAGTATAAGTTTGTTGGACTATATGTTCTAAATGTACAGGTTCACTTCCATGTTATAAAATTCTTGTTGGGTTTTTTTTGTTGGTTGATCTAAACTCTTGTCGAAAATTTATAACTAAAACAAAAACTTGCCATTTTACGGTATGTGCATTTACAGAGGTTCAAACTGATCAATCAATACATTGGATAACTTTCCAGTTCTAGAATATCTGGAATTATTCTAGCCACACCATCACCTGTTTGCAAGGAGGGTCACAAAATATAACAAAGAATAGATACAAAAAAGGTACTTAGCACAATTCAAGCATGCATATGAAATACCTATTTCACCAGCAATGCAATTGATATATGTGATTTAATCAAGACAATTCAAAAAGATTCATTATTAAATATCACACTCATTAAGTTGCCTTAAATGTAAAATCCCTTTATACATTTTTGTCATTCCCTTGGGTCAAGTTACTGGACTTACTTAACTACTATGAAATCTCAACCCTTCAATCCACATTAAAAAAAATGTCTGCAGTAAGTTATCATATGATGCAATTCAAGACCAATATAACTTTTCAACAGCATCAATAAAGCTGAAGACAGAAGAGAACTTAACCAATCAGATCTATACAGGGTTGACTACCTGTAGCTTTGCTTTGATATATGTACCACAACCACATACATTAGCCAGAGAGAGATAGAGAGATAGAGATCGGTAAGAAACAAGACCTTATGTATTATACTCCTGGTTTTTTTGTATTTTTCAGTAGCCTGCAATAAAATTGAGTCAAATCTTTTATAATTTTTATCAACTGTATTTCCACCATTACATTGTAATATGAAATCTGAGTCAAATCTTTTATAATTTTTATCAACTGCATTTCCACCATTACATTTTAATATGAAATCTAACATAAATTTTTCTTTTTAACCATTCAAAAACTATTTTCTTTTTTATCTTTTTGTTGAAATCTGCTTATCTATCAAGTTTGAGGCTTAAGTGGTGCAAAATTTATCCGAACAATAAAAAGAAATTTGAAGTCAAAAGTGTTCACCAATTTGAATTTAATGCTCAGTAACATGTGCTTCATTTCAATATAAGTTGGAAATATGTCAGTAAGAAATTGACTGGAAGGTTAGTTCTTAAACCAAAATAAGTTAAGACTGGAATCAAAGTTAGTCCAAGCAATACCAAGTACAAAAAAGAAGTGAGTACAATACATACAAGATGCATCACAGAGCTCCGGGGAGGATGAGGTTCCGTCAGTAGCTGAGTGGGAGTTTGACCAAAACTGCGAATCTGGTTCTCAATTGCCTGTAATAATGTAGAAAACAATCAATCCCAATTCAATATGATGACTGAAGAACAAGGATTATTGGACAAGTGATAATATTTTAAACAAGTTGTTTTTCAAAATATCACCCAGTTGCTTACATTTAATAGCTACAAGTATTTAGAAAGACAAAGTCATTATCAAATACAACATCTACTGGTATTCCCTGAAATAGTGTCCTTTGAAAACTGTTGTTTTGTTAACAAGAATAGAGTCAGAATTTTTGACAGTCAAAAATGAACCTGCCTCTTTAACAGTATTACTACAAAACCCCTGAAATAATCAACACTGTTTATTAAAGGAAAGATTTACGATTTTTTCTTGGTAATACTCCTTTCACAACATTAACCATCAATAGTGCCCTTCTCCCCAAAAAAGGTTAAAAAAAATATGTTAAAATATTAGAGACTTCAGATTTTTAAGTACATTACAACTTTCTCATACCACTGTCCAACAATAACCATCTATCAACATAAGTAACAAAATTTATCTACATGGAGAATTTAATGTTGGAGGTCAACTTTACCTCTTTCATAACTGGGTCGGTCATTGATTCCAGGTCTACACTACCCTCGTATGTCAGGTAATAGAATACGTTAGTGGATCTCACTGCTTCTGGTCCTGTGAATACACAACAAAAAGTTAAAACTAGTTTAAAGGCTAAATTTCCTGTAGATAAGAAATCACTGTCCAAATGAGATTTTAATACATGAAAAGTGACAGTTGAAATCTTAATGAAGATATGTTTCCACTGCTACTATCTTTTACAAAATTGAACAAGTGGATTACTACAGAGCACCCACATCTCGATGCAGGGCCCTGATAAAAATTAACGAACATTGAACCATTTAACACACTATAGAACATAACAAGGGCCGTCAAGACACAAAATGGGACAAAATTTATGTAAAGAAATAGCAAAGAGCAATAAATCCTAAATTTTGCAAAAGATAGTGATGGTTCTTGTGCACTGCACTTCTCCTTGTTGAGATCTATCTACCTGTGTTTCATGTTTATACCTCTTGTAGTGCTTGTGTAATGCTCCTGATATAATTCAAGTATGTAAAATATAAAAGGGCAATAATGCCTTAATTATGCAAAAGAAAGTAATGGTTCTTGTGCACTACACTTCTCCTTGTTGAGCTATATCTACCATATAAGTTTTTGTAATATGCTCCAGACAAAATTATGATGGACATACAAACAAACAGACAGACAAAGTGACAACTATATACTCTCCCTTTGGAGAGCATGAAAATCCTAAAACGTCCAATGTGAAACCATCCAAACTATTCAGTGAAATACAATGTGGAAATTCATAATTTTACATAACACCTTTTCAAGGTCTCCTTACTGCACTGCAATTATTAATAAAAATAAGGAAAATAAGCAACACTGGCAACATTTTACAGAAAACAAGTCGGCAAAACATTAAAGATTTAATACATAAAAATGGGGCAAAGCCACAATTTACCGGGATGAGTGCAATGTTATATGGTATTTATAAGACAGTTAAGGGTGTTTCATTTGTTGAGTATCAAGAAAAAAGGTCCTGAATGAATCTATGATAAGAGGTGTACATCTTCAACATATATATAAACATCCTACAAAGTTTCAAGCTTCTACGTTAAAAACTCTAGGAGGAGTTGATTCTACAAAACCAGTACCCCTTTTCCTTGCCAAACTGCTGAAAATGACTTAAGTTTCAAAGCCCGGAAAATCCAAAAAAATGTCAAGAATGAATCCATAATAGGAGGTGCACATTTTCAACATATATATAAACATCCTACAAAGTTTCAGGCTTCTACGTCAAAAACTCTAGGAGGAGTTGATTCTACAAAACTGGTACCCCTTTTCCCACCAGCCCAGCCGCCCGCCCGACATTCACCATACTATAACCCGGATTTGCACTATGTGCAATCCGGCCAATAAAAATGAACAACATGGAGATTAACATACCCCTTTGTTTGTATCCAAATATCAGATCAATCCAATGATGGAGTTGACAGGACACAAACTCAGATTCCAGAGCCTGAAACATTAAAACAACATCAATCAGGGATTATAAAAGAAACATTTGATTACACAAGACGATTTTACTTTCTATGGCCATTTCTACCATGCCTCACTTACTGAACATCATACATAAACATAGGAATCTTGATGCAGACAAAGGCTTCTGTATTAGTTAGACAGTAGAAATGTTTTCAACAAATAACTGTCAAGGAAAGAAAAAACTTGGTAACAAATATGTCAAAGTTCATGTTCAGAACTATTACTTTTAAAGAAAACTTTAGGTCTTCAATCTTATTTCAATACAGCGGAATCTTAATCATAATTAAGCATGAACATGGAGATGATTTTTCAGATCAATCTAAGAGAAGGTGTCTTTCAACATCTCACCATTCTATTGGTCCTAATGAAGTCCTCAGGACTCTTAGCCCAGGGTGGTAAGATGACGTCCTTCACTTCCAGACCGTCATCCTGCTGGCCCAGGTTGAAATCATTCTCATTGACTAACATCTCTGGGAGGAAAAAGTGTTCTGGCACCAACTCCTGTGAACAAGATAACATGCAATCAAATCCAACTGATGTCACAATACTTCTTGTCAATGGTGTGAAAGTTATGAATGTACTATATAACATTACTTTCTTTCGTACTTTAAACTTTGAGAATTCATTTCAAAGGTAAATAACTAGCATGGATAACATAATTACATTTATAATTTTATCATTTGAAGTCTTAAATTTCTTGCATTAAACTCTTGTGATTTATCTAGAACGGCAAAAGCAAATGTTTCTACACAACAAACATTTCATATGTTGAAGTATATGATTATTCTCAGATGAACTATTTCAAGAAAGAGACAGTTTCAACACAAAGAAAGACACAGTTTTAACACAAAGAAAAGACACAGTTTCAACATAAAGAAAGAAACAGTTAAAACACAAACAATGAAACAGTTACAAACAAGAATAAAAATAAAATGTAAATCTAAACTGTTTTTCTGACTACAAATACTTGGATAAATTAAACTGTGAACAAATGTAAACAAACCTTGACATCAGAGGTATCACGCTGGCAATTCTTCCAAGCCTGCGCAATTGAGAAAAAGGTCCGATTGGCATGATCGAACTTGCCTCCTTGCATATTCAAAAATATTGTCGTGAAAGGCTCCTACAAGAGAAAAAAACATGGAATTGAATAAAAACATTCCACAGTTCTAGCTCTCATATGATCAATTATAAAATGAAAACTAATTTTAACCAAAAATTGGCACAACGAGATTATGACAGTGAAATCTTTGACATGTGAAAAATAACGATAGTTTTTATTCCTTACATTAAAGAGAAAAGATTAAAAAAAAAAAAAGCCATCAAACCATCTTAACTATATTGCAAACAGGAAGTTTGAAATTCATTTTCCCCAAACCATAACATGAATCTATTAATTCTTTCTTCCACACTTTAGATTCAACATTTCAATACTACAAATTAATTCCCTCTTCCTAGATTAGGATTACATTTTTTTTAATAAAACAAGATTAATAACCCATAAATCATATTCTGTCATGTTGCTAATTAGTTAGGATAATAGTTTTAGACAAAATGACATACCACTCTTATGAGCCAGTTGAGGGTGAAGGCTGCCGTAGAGAAGTGTGTTCCGTAGTGGAAAGGTGGAATCTGATCATGTTCCCAGGTTTCATATCGCTCGTCAAAAAACTCCTTTCTTGTGGGATTCAGTGCCCCAACAGGCTGTTTTTGAAAAAAAAATTGTTTCAAATGGTAAGTACGAGTTTCTTATGTTTAATTATTTCATTGTACAGAACATGTTTATGATATAAATTAATATATGGGTTCCTATCTAACAGGAGAAAAGATCATAAGTTCTCTTTGTTTTCATGACAGCCAGTAACTGTAAAAATCAAAATCCAAACAGAGGTACCTAGAAGGTAATTTTGACATATCAATATGGTTTTTGAGATATCTGTATTCAACAGAAGAAAGATAAGAGACAGTAGGGCAAATTTTATATCAGCTACCTTAGACAAATCCCTGAAGTTGTTAGGCTGACTCAGATCTAGTTCCTCCGACTCGTAATTTACTATCACCCAAGGAAACACAGAATACTGGTTCAAATCATTGTAAGTACGCCCTGAAACAATTAAACAATGGGTTGAATAACAGATTTATGTATAGAGAAGGACATTCTAAAAATATGTAATGTAAATGTAAAAAAAATTACCATTCTTCTGAGTTAATATTTTCACTTTTTAAAGAACAGAATAAAATTCTGGAAAACATACCATCCCAATAAATTTAGAGAACAATATATAGCTCCTTTCAGTTTTGGTAAAACTACAAAATTCTACACCATCAAAAAAAAGTACCCTTTAAAGTATGCAATATAACATTTTACAGGATTTTATTGAAGACAACTTTTAAGCATCCCAACACATACCCGCTATGGTGTTCAAGTACATTAGGTAATCAAAGTTTGAAATTTCCCTTCTTTGCCATTTCTGTGTCATGCATGAGAGTTTGAACAGCTGCTTTCCTGATGCAAGTGACATTCGTCTGTAATTGTAAATCAAAAGTAAAACTTGAACATGTAATGTCTTATTGCAGATGATAAATGACTGCATTTATAAGAATTTTCAGTCTCTTAATTAGATCAATTACAAATGCATACATATACATCTCTCTTTCCATTATAGAACTGAATGCATCATAAATTCAATTAGATATTTGAATTTTCTTTTTTTTTATTGTTTTTTTTTCTAAATAAATAGTATCTAAGGATAACCCTAGAGTTATCTCCCTTTGCCCAATTGCTTACAATCTAGCAGCACCTACCTAGCTTGTGGGAGTCCATATTTCACCCCAACTCCCACACGAGGTAGTGCATTGATAACCTTCTTGACTGTAGCATGGTCAGGGAAAGCAAACATAACTGCCGCTGTAAATCAAATCAATGATACACTGATATTAACACAAGTCAAATTCTTATAATTTTCATATCTTTGAAATTTACGTCAACATATATAGGTGTCTATTCTTGAAAATCACTGTATTCACAAGCACACATGCATTATTGTAATCCAAGGATAGTTGTTCCCACAACAATTTTTATTTATAACCAACACAAGCAATATACTTCAGACAGCTTATCAGAGTATTATCGCAATATGAATGCTATGGTGATATGAATTATCTCATGGTATAAGGCAGATAAATCATTTTTCATCATTTAAATTGTTGCTTACTTCTGTTTGCCATGAAGATTTCAATAGAGACATTCTGTAGCAAATATCGCCGTGAAAATATTGCTCGTACTTCATTGAAATGCCATCGTCCATGAAGGTGTTCCACATACGACAAAACCTAAAAACAGACACCATGAAACTTAGATCCAGCCATAAATAGTTGAAGACATTTTCAGTAAATTATTGTTTTGCAATACAAATACATGGAATTTCTGAATAAAATTCCATAGCCGACAAATAACATTTTTACTTAAAATTACTCAAATCATAGCTTTAAACCGATATTTATTAAATTTGATATTTCAACATTTTCACTTTTACAATTACATATAATTGTGTTATGATGACCATAATGTAATTCAAAATTAAAAGAATTCATAAAATAGTATGACAAACATTGCATCATAAATGAAAAATCAATAAAAATATCAAAATAAATGTGTTTAGACATATTTCAAAATATCATACAGCATTTTCATCAAATCCATATCGTCAAAATCACAAATGGACAAAAACAGCACATGGACAAACACATGACACCACATATATATAATGTTATCATGTTTACACCAAGGAATACACAACGCTAATCATCATCATCAAACATCATAAACATCATAAAACATATTCACAATATTCACAATCATTTCACTTTATAGTGAAATTAAAGAACACATACAATCAATTTCAATATTTATAATTCAAAATCAATATAGGCCAACATATCAATCATCATCATATATATTATAATATTACAATATGATATACATGTATACACTACATTATGTCACCTCGAAAAAGACAGTATCATTATTTCTTATATGGGAGAGAGACACAAGATATTACTGATAAAGAGATAATAAGACTACATTGAGATCCACATCTTTTTGGATGACCTTAACATTTGTAAGTTTATTTGTAATATACATTACATTGATGATAAGTTAACCATCTCCTCCTCCATGATACACATCTGAAATAACAAGAAAAAACAATTATTCCACAACATATTACCAACATCACTGACCAATAACTGAAAAAATTGACAATGTTAATTTTTATTTTCTTTCCTTTACTTTACATAAGTTAAATGAGAGTCATCATGTGGTTATATTACATGAAACCAAATTGACTTGAAACTCAGTATTCCTAACCAATGAAGTCTTTGATTTTCTATTCATTAAAAATGATTTACATATTACAAGCAGTCTTTGTGAAAACAGTTTCTAGACATCTCTAGTGCTAATACAGGGTGATAGATGTATTATTTGACAATACCACAATACTGTAAATATGACATAATACTGATCTGATAATGCCATCAGCCAAAACTAGAATCACTGGACTCAGATCCAACTGATGGAATTGTTGTTGGATTTCAACCTGATAAAATTGGTTTAAGAATCTTAACATTTTGTTCTAGGATTTCAACAATAAATCACTAAATCTTATACAGATTAGATTCCAAGATTATCTAAATATCTAATAATAATTCAAGTTGAACTTAGCCACTAACACTGAAAACATAAAGAAAATAAACAAAGATCTTGGAATATAGATGGAATGATTTGGTAGCAATGGAATTTTATAGATCAGTAGCCTATCCAACAATAAAACATCAATAATGACAGAGTGGACGTCTAGATGGCACCAAATCATCATACATTATCCTGGCAATACTGGTAATCTACACTCCCACCAGACAGCAGCTCCTGCATCAAATCATTATAAAATCGTCCCAGCAAAACATCACCTATCAATCATGCCTTTAGCATGGTAAAATAAACTGACACACTAAATGCAGCACTTTCTGTTTAACCTTCTGCTAGCAAAACCCGGAACAATCATCATCATTTTTCGCTTTTACAAAATCAATTTTGTGTAGTCTAATCAATTTCGTGCTGGAAGCTACCAGTAAAACTGCAGCTATGTAACATTGGTGAACCATTGCTGCATCACAAGCCTCGTCTTCCAAGAAATGATACAGTGACGATGCTGCCTGCCATAACATGTACAGTGACCCAGACTCCATCAACCCTAATCAAATAATCCTACAGTAATTAGATTGTAAACAGGATCTCCTCTCCGATCCTCTCAAAACAAAGTCACATGGGTATTGAGAAATAATAGGTTCCATCATTACCCTCCCATGACTAGAACAGGTCTGTAATTAAATATTAAAAAGCCTTTTGTTCGTAAAATACTGATGGCCAGTTTGTGGCCCCAGATCTGTAGAACACATGGTATGCTTGCTACATCGTATATGAAGGCACTGCTTCAGTCAGGTCAATACAAATATTAAACAGTAACTATGTTAACATCCTGGTAACTATATGTTCATATGTAAAGCATAATTTTTGACATAAATCTGAATATTGATTTGTAAACTAATTCTGATTCAATAAGGGATGCAGTCACACATACTGTCTAATCATTTAGTAAAGCTAAAATCACATTCATATTTACTATATAAAAATCAAATTCTTACCATTTGGCTTCAATGAAGGGTCAATGCTGTGTCTACCTGTATTGCTGTATTTGTTACTGGTCCAATTTTCCCCTGGGGAATGCAACATCATGACTCCTCTGAAAAGATATATAAATTGTATGATAAGGATGGGTAAATAAACAATGTGATACAATCAATCATAATATATTTTACATTTATATAAATATTGGTGGGAACATGATGAGAGCATTTTCAGAAGTATAACAGTTTATTCACAATGGATAAACTTCCTAAGAAATTTTATACCTGGAATGTGCTTTGGCTAATGGTTGATTACTGGTAGAATATTCACACTTCAATTTATTTGATAAAGAAAATCTAAACTTGAAATACTTAAAAAAAAACTGTATTGTAAATAATTTTCGTTTTCTTACAAACATCACTGCTACATAACAAATAATGAACATTAAATTCAAAGTCTAAATTCCAAATCCTATTTTGTTGGTGAACCTCTGTCTAAATACAACACATTAACATACATGTCCCTGTGCTCATAAATTTCCTTGCATAGAAATAACAAATACCAATAAAGAATAAGACTACGGTGTTTCTAAAGCACAAGGTTTTAATTAATGGACACTGCGAACACTGAAAATCGATCAATATTCTCTTGGGATGTATGAAACTTAATTATCAGCATCCCCGACAAAATCTGTTTTGTGAAAAAGTGGAAAATGCCTAACAAGTTTTGACACATTTAATATATGGAAAATTCCTGTGACTGCATGTACCAATTCACTAAATCGTCTTAATTCTGTTACAATATACATTTCAAAGTTAGGTCATGAGACCAAATCTGCAATTCAATGACATCATTTGTTAGTTGTGAAAACATATCATGCACAAGTTTAAACTTATGACAAGACATTATATTTGAAATTGATTTAATTCTTAATATCTTGTTACATATACATGTACTTTAGGTTTGCAAAAAAAAAAAAATAACATGTACACGTCTGTAAATTTTAACAAGAAATGATATAGCTTAGACAATAGCCAATACATGTAAATCCAGCTATTTGAATGTATCAGGACCTGTTATGACCTTGTCTGTGAACCAATGACCAGGCTCTATATATACTGTCAGAGCTACATTAATGACTTGGAAGGACACCAACTACAGAGGTCCATATATAACTAGTAATGTGTACATTTGCATCTAGACTTTGTCTGTGAATACTAGACCCATCTGTTACACCACCACCTCAGGTATCTATACACCAGATGCCTGACATCTCAGGGTTTACAAACTTTATATGAAAATGTGGAAATCTGATAGAAGGATGTCTCAACCATTCTTAAGTTCATAAACAAATAAAACTTTTGTTTGGAATTAACAAGGAAATTAAGGAGTGAACAATGTTTGTGAACTTTAATGGCTTTTACTCAAATGAAAAAAATACATCATATCCCATCCACATGATCAACTTATATATATTCCAACTGCCCTATTTAAAAGATATACCGGGAAATGTACATTGTATATGTCCAAAAGAGATCCCAGAAGGATCTTGGCGTCCACCATTGTTTGATCTTTACTTGTTCTTTGAATGTTTGATACTTCCCCACTTTTCTCTTCTTTCTTTTAGCACTAAATGGTAAGTATTTTGAACATTAATCCTTTGCAGGTATAGCGATGATAATCTTTCACTGCAAAATCTAAGATGGTCAGCTGTAAGCTTTTTTTGTTTTTTCTGATCTGTCCCAAAATCTCACAGGCACTAGGGACCAAGGGGAGCCTACATATGAAATTTGAAAGAGATCCATACAGGACTTCTTAGAAGAAATAGCTTTAACAAATATTGTTTAAAGTGGCGATAGACTATGGACGCAGGGCAATTTGAATAGCACGATGGAGGGCTAAAAAACCAAATATGTTTGCTGTTTATAAAGTCTGTGAAACATTAAGAAAAATATTCAAAAATTGAATCAGTTCTTAGTTATTGCTTAACTATTATCTATAATGCAAATAGTGTACAGCTGTTGATATCACATCTATAGGTTTTCTTTTGACTCGAGTATGTAAATATGTATACGGATCTTATTTGAGTGAGTTTCCAGAATTGGTGTATATTTCATTGAATTTCAAGCTGAAGTATGCTTTTCAAAACAATCCACAAGTTTGCTCACAGCTCTGAATTAGGCCTCCTTGTTTTACAGAGAAAACTTGGCACAATCACAAATGATGCAGATCTGGAGCCATTTCCCTACAAGAGGTGTAACATCCAGTCTAAAATTTCATCTAAATCCTTTCGCTGTCAACAGAGAATGCAGTAGTCCTCCTGAAAGGTGACATGCTGTAACACCTTGCGGAGGAAAACCTCGTTACTCTGTGCATGTTAATGGGGCAGAATCATGACTGTCTAGCAACTGCCATCTGGTGCCAAATTCTCCATCGGACAACAACGGCCACACCAAAATAAATATTTGGCATCTGTATCAGATAAAGTCAATACCATCCTAACAAGTGAGTCGTGCATATTTTCACTCGGTTTGATATTTTTGACCTGGCTATTTGACAATGTTATCGTTAAGGATTCCATCAGGTAGTCCTGTAGCTAGACCATTTGACACAATTCAAATTTTTTCAAATATTTAAGCAATAAACT